AAGCCATCTATGAAAAACCAACAGACAATATCATACTAAATGGTCAAAAACTGAAATCCTTCACACTAAAATCAGGAACAAGACAAGTATGTCCACTATCACCACTCCTGTTCAGTATAGTTTTGGAAACATTAGCCATAGCAATTAAAAAAGAGAAAGAAATAAAAGGAATAAAGATAGGAAATGAAGAATTCAAATTGTCATTATTTGCAGATGACATAATACTCTATATAGAAGACCACAAAAACTCTACCAAAAGAGTTCTAGACTTAATAACCAAATTCAGTAGAGTAGCTGGATACAAGGTCAACACTCCAAAATCAGTTAACTTCATGTATATGAATAACAGAAATCACTGAGAGGAATTGAGGAAACAACACCTTTCACAATCACATCCATAAAAAAGAAAAACAGATCTATCTAGGAATCAATCTAATGAAGGAAGTAAAAGACCTCTACTCTGAAAACTATAGCACTCTGAAAAAAGAGATCAAAGAAGATATCAGAAAATAGAAATATATCCCTTGCTCTTGGGTAGGAAGAACCAACATAGTGAAAGTGGCCATACTTCCAAAACTGCTATATAGATTCAGTGCAATCCCAATTGAAATTTCAGCAACATATTTCACAGAACTGTAGAAAACAATACAAAAATTAATTTGGAAAAGAAGATACCTAGAATAGCAAAGGCAATTCTAGGCAACAAAGGCAAGGCAGGGGGCTTCACAATCACCAATTCGAAACTATACTTCAAAGTTACTATGATAAAAACAGCATGATACTGGCAAAGAAACATACTCGAGGATGAATGGAACAGATTAGAAGATGCAGAAAAAACTACAGATATACTCAGCCACCTCATCTTTGACAGAGGAGCCAAACACCTTTGCTAGAGGAAAGATAGCCTCTTTAATAAATGGTGCTGAAAAAACTGGGTTTCAACTTGCCAAAGATTAAAACTAGACCTATATCTTTCACCATGCACTACACTAAAGTTGAAATGAATCAAAGATCTAAATATTAAAACAGAAACACTAAGCCTGCTGGAAGATAAGTTAGGTAGAACTCTTGAAGACATTGGTATATGAAAAAACTTTATGAACAAAACCTCAATAGCACAGAAACTAGCACAGAGAATCAACAACTGGGATCTCATCTCCTTAAAAAGCTTTGGCACAGCAATAGAAACCACCAATAGAGTGAAGAGATAACCCACAATTTGGGGAAAAAGTTTTACTACCTGTTCCTCAGACAAAGGACTGCTATCTAGAATATATAAAGAACTTAAAAAAAATCAGACCTCTCAAATGTAAAGACCTAATCCAAAAATGGACATCTGAAATAAATAGACATTTCTCAGATGAAGTAGAAGCAGCAAATAAACATATAAAAAATGTTCAATATCACTGGTCATTCAAGAAGTGAAAATGAAAACAATGCTGAGATTCCATCTCACTCCAGAAAGAATGGCTGCTATCAAGAAATTAACCAATAACAAATGCTGGAGGGGCTATGGGGGAAAAGGGACCCTTCTCCACTGTTGATGGTAGTGTAGACTGGTACAACCACTGTGGAAATCAGTATGTAGATTACTCACACAACTAGGATTAGAGATCCCATTTGACCCAGCTTTTCCCCTTCTGGGTATGTTCCCAAAAGAATTAAAAGTATCATACCACAGTGATATATGCACACCCATGTTTCTATGGGCACAGTTTGGCAAAGCTAAATCTTGGAAATAGCCCAAATGCTCATCAACTGGTGATTGAATAGAAAAGATGTGGGTTTTTAAAAAATAAAAGGTAGTACTACTCAGCCATAAAGAAAGATAAATTAGAGATATATATAGCTAAATAGATGTGCTTCAGAACCATCCTCTTAAGTGAAATAAATAAAACACACATGTATAAATACTGAATTGTTTCCCTGGTTTGAGAAACTCAAAGTGTAAATGAGGACCAAAATGTATAATAGATATTTTGAAGTAGGAAGAAAATGTTCAAAGGGGAATGGAACTGGGGCCGGGGAATGAGGGAGGAAAGAAGGGAAAGAAAAAAATGAGAAAAGAAGGAAAAAATGAAAACAAAGCTTTTGTAAATAGGGAAGGGTTGAAGGGAAGGAAGGGGAATGAGAAAAAATAATAACAAAGATAGATCATGTACAGGTACATATTCCCAACAATGAGTGCGGTCATAATGTATATCTATAATGTACCAATAAACTTAATGAATTAAAAAAAGAAATGTGTTTGTCTTTCAAGTAGTAATTTAAAATAATCCATTAATTATTGAAGAATTTTTAATCTATTAACATGAATTTCTTTAACAAATCTTATCATAATATACTTGTATTCCTTGGAGTTGTTTTGTGTGTATATAAACCAAATGAAATTTGATTTTAAAGTTTTTCAATAATTTAAGCATATTAACATGAAATTAAAATGTTAAAAGGAGAATTTTAATGAATTAATCATAAAATGTCTATAAGCAGACGCAGAAAAAGCATTTGACAAAATCCAACATGCATTTATGATAAAAACCTTATAAAAATTGGAATAGATTGTCTCTACCTCAAACTGATAAAAGCCATCTATGAAAAACCAACAGCCAATATCATACTAAATGGTCAAAAACTGAAATCCTTCACA